CGCCGCCAGGGTCGGCGGAAACCCTAGACCCTAAACCTAAACCCTAAAGCCTAAACCCTAGGCCCTAAACCCTAAATAAGCTGTATGCCCGAAGCTCTCAGCACCACAGCCTCGGACCACAAAGCCTGGAAACGAATTCCTTGAGCCCTAAAATGTGCACTTGGCTTAAGCCTTACCCGGACCCTTCCAGAACTTCCTTCCCTTTTTCGGGTGGTTTCCTTCTGTTAAGTTCTTAAACAGGGAGGCTCTTTGGGGTCTAGACTGTTTTTAGGTTGCTGAAAATTCAACTTGAATTCGATGATTTAGGGTATATGATTTAGGACAAAAACAACGTACAAATAACCTAAATTAATTTAGGTTACAACCTAAATAAATTTAGGTTATAACCTAAATTCATTTAAGTACCTTTTGTCATCAAAAAATACATGATTTGATATAGAAAAGTCACAAGTTTCTTGTGTTTTTCATTGAACAATGGTGTTGTTTTACTTGCGAGGATGTGGCTCGGGTATAGAAGTAGGCGGCCAGTTTTACTTGTGTGCGGACATGTGCTGCTGCTGTTTCTGTGCATTGAATTGGCAGTATGCATGAATCTGTTTTGTGTTTTACCGGTGAGAATGTGGCTTGGCACCACTTTTTCGTATCGGAATGATTTACTTAACTGCGACAATGTTTCTGTTTTCGGGTAGGATTTGATAATGCACTATATGTGGTTCTTTTACTTGCGAGGATGTGACTCGGGTAGTAAAGGCGGCCAGCTTTACTTTTGTGTCGGAATGATTTTCTTGACTACACACAAATGTTTTTGTTCTCGTGAAGGCTTTTTTTGCTCTGAAAGACTCTGACTCTTTGGCACTTTGTACAGACCTTTTTGGTAGCATGGCCTCTTTGGACGCTATCATGGAGGAGAAGCAACGGGAGTTGGATGGTCTGAAGGACGGTGGTAAGCCAGCATCCAAGCGGTTGGTCGCTGACCCAAGCATCACCGTGGATGACCTGGCAAAGGTCTTCTCGAAGTACCTCGAGTACAAAGGATCCCGGGACTTGTGGTCTCTCCTCAGCCCGCCACCTGGCGGTCCATCCCAATTTCATTGGCATACACCAGTGAATGGGGATTGGACCGCCAAGGTGAGCGGGCTGCTCTTCGACCTCTTGGATTTGGCTCCCAACACAAAGTTGCTCGGGACCAAGGTGATAGCCGCCTTTCGGTTCCTTCATGCCAATAAGCACCTCATGCTTCCGGAATCCCGAACCCAGTCTCATTTGGACAAGATGGATATGGCGATCAGGTTACTCATGTCCTTCCTGAGACAGCTCAAGGTAAACGACTCCTTGAGGGCCCGAGTTACCCGGTTG